CACAGGAGTAACAGAACCGACGTGGCCCTTTTAAGACCCACACAGATCGTAGAAATCTATTTAGAATCCAATGGATATTTCCCTTTCCCTCAGATTTCATAGAGCTACTAAATCAAGGCTGAATGTAGCAATATCCTGAGGTCCCAATTAGGTATTATGAACCAGAGGTTGGCCCACCTGTAGAGGATGTCCACAGCTGCTTCCTTGCAGTAGATAAAACTTTGATGTCCTTCTTCCTAATCTGTCCACTTCGAGTGCAGGCCAAATGCAAGTCTAGACTTTTTTCCTTTGGTAAAACTCTCCATAATACCTTGTAGAATATTTACACAAATGAAGTGCTAAAAGTTGATTCCAAATTGTGCATTAAAAGAAGTCCATTTCTAGTTATCTGTATTCCCAACGGACCATAAACTCGGGCACCTTCCAACCCACTGTTTATAGCAGTGTATATACCAAGGGCAGAGACTTACAAGGCAGATACCCTGATTCTAACCTTGGCTTTTCCACTGGGACGCTGGGTGGCATTGGGCAAGTGGCTTACCCTGTCTGAGGCGACATCTCTTCGCCTATAAATGAATGCTCCTAGTTCGCAGGGCAGTTATGAGGATTACACAAGAGAGTGGACATAAAGCACTTGCGGACTGTTTGCACTGGTTCAGGATACATAACTCAGCTACTGGTAGCTATTAGTATTTTGTTTCAGGATAGACACCAAGCCTGAATGTTTGGCTGTTTAAGTAAGGATATTTTATTCACACTTTTTTTTAGTTCAATGAGTGAGACTCTCCTGGGTAGAATATCACTGTATCTAGAGTGCTGGGAAGGTGTCATATGCCCATGCATTTGATGCCAGAATCTTAATCTTTCTGAAATGCCAGGGAGGTAAGTTACTCCCCCACCCCCTTTCATAGACAACACCAACTTTCCAGAGAGGTTACCAAGATTGCTTTTAAATATATCCAAGTTGGTCATCTGTATTTTTTTTTTTTTTTTGCCTCTTCCCTTTAGAAGTTCACTTGAAAAAAAGAACAAAGCACATGAGAATACTCAGTGGTTGGAGATGCATAAAAAGAAGTGTCAAGCAATGTCCAAATCCGTGACCTTGCGGGCAAAAGCCATGGATCCCCACAAAAGCCTGGAGGAGGTATTCAAAGCAAAGTTGAAAGAAAACCGGTCAGTGTCTTCCATGCGTCAAAGGGTTGTGTCTTGGGATCCAGCAGATCATTGGTCTTGAAAACAGCAAAATGGAGTTACTAGGGTGGGCTCCTATAATGGCAGTCATGAGTTTTGCCAGGCACAGTTAGGAATTTACAATGTCCATGGGACTTACTCTGTTTAACTGGAATGAAGGGTATTCTGGATTGGAAAAAGGTGGATTTTAAAAATCTTATTAATTTCAGGAACAAAGACCGTAAAAGAGCAAAAGAGTGTAAGAAAGAATTGGAAGAAATGAAAAAGAGAATACAAACGAGGCCATATCTCTTCGAACAAGTTACCAAGGTAAAACTAAACAGTCATCTTCTTTCTGTCTAAGGGTTCTTAGACATGAAAGTTTACTATCTGAGTATTAAACATTTCCTTGAAGCTCAGAAAGATTCTAAATTAGGCCCATTTGATTACTACCAAAGTAGTAATAGTACATGCTACTTGGGCTAAATTCATCCAAGACTGGACTCTAAAGACATCTAAAATGGGAAATTTCAATTCCTGGAGTTTTCACTGTAGTCTAGCTTTCAGTATGAATCAGAGTGGGAGTTAGGTCAGCTACTTGGGCTAAATTCATCCAAGACTGGACTCTAAAGACATCTAAAATGGGAAATTTCAATTCCTGGAGTTTTCACTGTAGTCTAGCTTTCAGTATGAATCAGAGTGGGAGTTAGGTCCCATACACACAGTGAGTTTGGCTGTGTTAGCAAGCACATCTTTAACTTATTAGTATTAATGTGACTGAAAATCCAGTCTTTTCTGCTGTCCAGAGCCATTGTTCATAGTGGTGGAACATCACCAGCCTCTAGATCTGTGGTACATTGCTAGGTCTCCAAGGGTTTTTAAGTCCATCATTTTCATCTAGACCTCACTTGGTCTTTCAAAAATCTAAGTCCTTGCTTCTCAAAGGTGTGGCTCCCTAATCAATGGCTGGCATCTCCTGGGACTGTTAGAAATACAGAATTGCAGGCCCCATCTGAGACCTACCAAAATAGAGTCTACTTTTTAACAAAATCTTCAGATAGTTCCTATGCACTTTAAGGCTTGAAAACAAAGCTCGAAGTAATTTCTATGCAAATCTCATCCCCACTAATGGGAGAGGGTGGTGGTGAGCAGTATTTTAAGGATATGGGTTAAGCTAGTAATTTAGAATTCACAAGTAATTCACAAGACAGTTACAGATTAGTTTCCTTCCACAGGACCTTGCCAGGAAAGAAGCAGAACAAAGGTATCAAGACACCCTGAAGCAGGCTGGGCTGGATGAAGACTTTGTGAGGAACAAGGTCCAGGGCACCAGGGCTGCACAGTGGAAGGCGCAGCTAGAAGTGCATGATTGTCCCAGGTAATCCCAGATGCTGCCGTCCCCCTGCAGTCCTCCAGGTGCCATTCCTCGTAATGTTCCTGGCAGGAACCTTTAGGACAGCCACTATCCTGTACTTACAGAATACTATCCAGACATCTCCAGATAACACATTTGAATTTGGAGAGAAGTGCAGTTGTGAATAAAATATAAACATCGTAGCCCTAACCAGTTTGGCTCAGTGGATAGAGCATCGGCCGGCGGACTGAAGGGTCCCGGGTTCGATTCCGGTCCAGGGCATGTACCTTGGTTGCAGGCACATCCCCAGTAGGAGATGTGCAGGAGGCAGCTGATCGATGTTTCTCGCTCATCAATGTTTCTAACTATCTATCTCTCTCCCTTCCTCTCTGTGAAAAATCAATAAAATATATTAAAAAAAAATACATATATAACCATTGTATATTAGGTCTAGATTCCTAAAACTTGAAACATCATTTTTCTATTCCAGTTCCAATGCCACCAGTCAAAAGTATTTCCACTTTATTTTTGAAAAATCATGTATATTTTTATTTCCCATAAAATGATAAAACTGTTTTTCTAGTGCTCTTTAAAAATAACTCATTAGCACCACCTCCTCCATTGAGATCATATAAATCAAAGGGAGTAAAGCATCTCTAATATTTTCAATTTTGTTGTCTCTTAAGTCCTAATTCCTCTCCCCATTTTCCACCTAGAAATTTCCTTTTGCATCCCATATAAAATAATAAAAATGTTGAGACCATCCTTAAGCTTTACATACTTTAAACGTTTTTTCATATTTTTATTTATTCTGCAGCACCCATGAAACTACAAAACTCGGCATCAGAAATCCACAGCAGGATTTAGAAGAACCTCTAGAGCAGCCTACCAGCCCCAAGAAAGAGCAGGAGGAGCTGTCTTATGAACTGCTAGATAATCTCGAATCACCTGCCTAACCAGTAGACTTCATTACTGCTTTTCAATAATATTAAGCAACTAAGGTTGAATCAAGGCAAGGAAAACTTGGGTTTTGAGTCATGGCTATTCTTGGAGAATGGGGAAAAGAAAAGTAGCAGATAACAGGGAATGGTTCAGGTAAATCAAAGTGAAGCTCAGGGTGGAGGGATCATAGCCGAGCTAAGGGGTCTTACTTTGTGCCTCACACTTAAACATTAGGGACAGAAAAAAAGGCACAGGCCCAAATGCCTACAGAGGCTAGTCAGAAAATAAATGGGTTGAATGGGCTGGCTGTAAGGGAGTTTGGGAAAATAGAGACTGGAGTCTCTGCTGGAATACAGGCCCAGAATTGCCAGATCAACTGCCTTTTCAACAGAAGCCAGAAATCTGTATGTTGTCACCTAATTTAAAAATTACTTGGAAATATTGTACAGGCAAAATAAAACACCTGGGGGATGACAAGTTTGCAACTTCTAGCACAGGGTTTCTCAGCCTCAGCACGATTGACATTTTGGGCCAGATGAATCTTTGCTGGGTGCAGGGACAGGGAGCTGTCCTGTGCACTGTGGGGTGTTTAGCAGCATGCTGGCCTCAACTCACTAGATGCCAATAACACCCCTCCAGTTGTGACAACCAAAAATGTCTCTAGATATTGCCAAATGTCCCTAGGAGAGTTGGGGGCAAAATGTTCCCAGTTGAAAACCACTGCTCTAGTATAGAGTGAGGCTACAGGAAGTAAAAACTGGCATTTTAAGAATACAAGTGATTGACATGAACTCAATCTACATAGCACCATATGATTATATACATGTCATTAACAAACTGAGAACTATAATTACTTTATTTAAAAAAGCAGTTCTTTCCTGTTATATATTTAGAATGTTATCTGTGAGCATGTATGTGTCAGCATGAGATTCACTTTAAATAAATTTGACAGCCATGATTTTCTACTAGTAAGTGATCTTTGGAATACTCACTAATTATAATTAGATGTTCTCTCAGTAGCTGTAGAGACAGGATAATAGCAAGAGTACCTACTCTAACAGAAGCACCTTTCCCGTTTTGTTTTGTTTTGAACTTTCTGGGAAAATTCATTGCTAATTTTCCAGACTCAGACATGGTTCTTTCTGATGGGGATAGAGTGACACTCCTGCAATAGCTATCATCTGGGTTTGCTAGTTAGAGATGAAGATGTTCATGTCATGTTCCCCAAGATGCCTGAGCTCGGTCTTACCTGCATGGAATCCTAAGGGCAAATCAATACCTTATCTTAAAGGTGAAGACTGAACTTCTTTCTTAATCTTCTAAGAGAACAAATTCTATCTAAAACAAGAAGCCAAAGAACTGACTGGGCTATTTTGTTTATTTAAAGGGAAAACAATTGAAGCTCTGAATCATGTGATTTAACTTAAAAAAAAAAAAGCCCTTTAAACATGCTACTGTATGTTCCATAAACAAAGAAAGCAAAGTGGCTAAGTAGAGGTGTATGGGACAAGATAGTACCTCAGTCTGGGCCAAGTAGGGATTCAAGTAATTTATTTTTTTGCAGCCCACTGGCGGAGAGTGTCTTACTCAGGTTGCTAAAGGGAGAGCATCACAACAGAACTGACATCACTCCCTTCTCCAAAGCAACAAGGCATCTTGAAAGCTCAACGTCTTGGTGAAGTTTTATGGTTGGTGTCAGGACTTAGTTCATCCAGGTGATAAGACAGCAGAGGAAAATCTCTTCTCAATTGTTATACTGAGATAGGTCAGCCAACACATAATCAAATTCATTTTTCGGGAGAAGTCCATCCCAAAATTTTCCAGTGGGAAGAGAGGTAGGTACAGTGACCTAGCCCACATTCCCTGCTTTCTTCCTTTTCTGGATCAGATGAGAGTCTGAAGAGAAGCTCTCTTGCATTCATCTTCTTTGCCAGGGAAGATGCACAGAGGAAAAAGCGGGGTCTTGTCATTCACAGATTCATTTTGATTCTGGCAGATTGTGAGCCATAAGCAAGCTGTTCCCACTATATGCTTCCTGGGATCAGATAGAGTGAGTGCTCTTCAGGATTCAATATCCATGCTCATGTCCGTCTTTCAGTTAAATCTCCTTGGTTTAGTAACTGGAAAAAGAGTACAACAAAATCTGAAATAGGTTACCGATGAATAAAAGAAAAATAATTCATACTAAGTAAAAGGTTGATGAGTGGGAGTGGGGAATGCACTGCAGGGGCTGAGTCAAGGATATCTAGTTCCAAAGCAAGAGCCATGCAGATACTGGCCGTGAGACAGCATTGTGGACACTTCACGATGCTGTCATTTGCACTACGGCAATAAAATGTCCTGAGTCTATAAATCAAACTGTTGTTTGCATATTCGTGTACTTACTAGTCAGTGAAGGAGGAATCTGGCTTACAGGGAAATTGGAAATGGTGAAACCAAAAATCTTATGTCAGTGTTAGCCCAAGTACAGGCTGCAAGTTCAAGCAGAAATAAAAGGAATGGAAGGCTAGTCCCAAAGAGTTCTACCTGAGAGCTAGACCCAACTCAGAAGAACTTCAGGGATTCCCTGGGCTTAAGGAATACTTTTCCTGTGATGAAGTGAGACAAGCCTGAGACTCCAGCAGGGTGGCAGCTAACACGGACATTCTACTCTATACTTTGTTGAAAAGCGGTTTTGTACAATAATTGCTGAAATTGGGTTCCATTTTATTATGAAAAGAAAATGAGATTGGAATATAGTGAAATTCAGAATACAAATTTGGCTTATTAAAATCTAATCAGATAAATTATTGAGCTGGAGATGTATTTACTTGTTGACCTCAGTTTGGATGAAGGTAGTTTATACAGAATTTAACAGTACAGAATTTAAAGACATTTAAACAAATTAAAGGACAGATTTCATTTGATGCTGTGTGGTAGGGATATAGAATGGTATGCTTTTAATCTAGGCCAAGATCCAGATATTTGAACTCAAAAACTCAGCAATGGCACTTTATTAGAGATGGTATAGAATTTGTAATTTGTTTTATCTGGAAAACATGCTAAGATATAGTCAAACTAGCTGGCAATCACTTATACTTGTTCTTGAGTTCAAGAATGTAAACTCGAGAGCTCGCCGCGCCGCTTCCCGCTCACAGCCTCTGCGCCTCGCTGCGCTCCGACATGGCAAAAATGGCCAGCCCTACAGAGACCAAGCGGTGCATCGAGTCTCTGATTGCTGTTTTCCAGAGGTACGCTGGGAGGGACAGTAACAACTTCACACTCTCAAAGACGGAGTTCCTAACCTTCATGAACACGGAACTGGCTGCCTTCACAAAGAACCAGAAGGACCCCGGTGTCCTTGACCGCATGATGAAGAAATTGGACCTCAACTCTGATGGGCAGCTAGATTTCCAAGAATTTCTTAACCTTATCGGCGGCTTGGCGTTAGCTTGCCATGATACCTTTAAGCGTTCCCAGAAATTTGTCTGAAGAACCCTTGGAGCTGGCCTCCATCCCCAGCCCCTTTCCTTCAAGTTTCCCAATCATCCTTTTCTCACAGACCACACACACCCTGAGCCCAGTGTACCTGCCACCCCATGCAGGCCGTTCCTGCTGGTAGTAATAAAACATTTTTTTTTAAACACACACACACAAAAAAAAAGAATGTAAACTCGCTCTGGCCAGGTAGCTCAGTTGGTTAGAGCATCATCCAGGTACACCAAGGTTGCAGGTTTGATCCTCAGTCAGTGCACATACAAGAAGCAATCAATGAACAAGTGGAACAACAAATCAATGTTTCTATAAATGAATGAATGAATAGAATGTGAACTTTCTGACATGGGACCCCAGTTGGGATGACCTGTATTCGGCAGCTCCAAAAGCCCTGGGGTCCCAGTGGGCCTGCACAATGAGTCCTCTGATTCTTGGGAGACCTGGAAATATTGAGGGATGACAGAAATTGTCCAATCTGTACCATCTGAATGAGGCGTAGTTTTGATATATTTTCCATGAAATTTTTGGATACTTGATTTGGTTATTCTGATACTCTTGATAAGTTATTTTTATTTTTAGAGCATATTTACAGGAGTCCAACTGGTGCATCAGTAGATTCTTAACAGGTATAATATATAATGTATGGTGACTTCCAAAAACAGAATTTGGAATGGGCTTGTGTTGTTTTAGGGTTGCAAATTGCCTTCTCCTTCTCTGGCATCTGAGTCTCCCCAAGGAATCAACCTTCCTCACTGACTGGAGGAATGGTCAGTTAGTACCTAGACCTTGGATGAGGAAGAGGACTAAGGCTGGAGCCTTGGGGGCTTGTAGCTTGAAAACCACTAAGGTACTGGAGGATGTGATAAGCCTACCCTGAGAAAGGAAAAGGAGGGGTGAGCAGTGTTGTAAGAGGAAGGCAATAATGGTAATGGTGAAGGTAATAAAGGTAATCTATAATAATAAAAGTGTAATATGCTAATTAGACCAGATGTCCTTCCGGACGTCCTTCCAGATGATCTTCTGGACGAAGCTGGGGCTTCGAGGGAAGCCTGGGTCCTGGGTACCTGCCAGCAGCCAGAGAAAAGTCTGGGTCCCGGGTGCCTATCGGCAGCGGGAGGGAACCCCGGGTGCTGGAGGGAAGCCAGTGCCGGCAGCCGGGGAACGAAGGCCTACCTTGCACGAATTTTGTGCATCAGGCCTCTAGTGCAGCGGTTCTCAACCTGTGGGTCGCGACCCCTTTGGGGGTCGAACGACCCTTTCACAGGGGTCGCCTAAGACCATCGAAAAACACATATAATTACATATTTTTGTGATTAATCACTATGCTTTAATTATGTTCAATTTGTAACAATGAAAATCATCCTGCATATCAGATATTTACATTACGATTCATAACAGTAGCAAAATTACAGTTATGAAGTAGCAACGAAAATAATTTTATGGTTGGGGGTCACCACAACATGAGGAACTGTATTAAAGGGTCACGGCATTAGGAAGGTTGAGAACCACTGCTCTAGTGTGTTAATAAATATACAAGGACCCATGAGGAAAAAGTGATAGTATAGGATTTTTAGCTACATCTAAGGGCAACACTTCCCACTTGGTGTTAATACTTTTCTATTAAGTGTTGGGGTCTTCCATTATGAAACTAGTTACTTAGGTCGCTATAGATCCTTAGTGTTTGTTTCTTAGGTGGCCTGTGCTATTGTGTCTGCCTGAAGCTGTAAGTGGGCATCACCTGGAAATGGACACTCTGCAGTCAATTCCATGACCCAGGTTCAAGAGAATAAATGCACTATTACTGGCCTTCCTGCACACACACATCAGGCCGTAACATACCTCATTTAAAACTGCAGTGGCTGCCACTGCCCCCAGGATACAATCAGGTCCTGGAAGGCCCTGCAAGACAGGGGCCAGCTTATCTTTCCTGTTCCCATTTTTCCATTCCAGCTCCCATCATACTCAACCCTCTGTGGTTCCATAGTTCCCTGTTCCCTCTCATCCTCTGCCTTAGTACACATTGCTATCCTTATGCCTATTATTTCCTTCCAACCCCTCCCACTTATCCATCAAGATTATTGCTATCATCCCTCAGATCTCAAACACTAAAACTTGCCCTGGCCAGTTTGGCTCAGTGGATAGAGCACTGGCCTGTGGACTGAAGGGTCCCAGGTTCGATTCCGGTCAAGGGCACATGCCTGGGTTGTGGGCTCGATCCCCAGTGTGGGGCGTGCAGGAGGCAGCCAATCAATGATTCTCTCTCATCATTGATGTTTCTATCTCTCTCTCTCCCTTCCTCTCTGAACTCAATAAAAAAACAAAAAAAACACTAAAACTTATTCCCTGACTTCCCCCAAGACTAGCACTTACTACAGCATGTAAAAATTGCCAGTTATTGATCTTTCACCCTTCCCATTCTAACTTCTCTGTGCAGCACCACTCCAGGGACACCATTTACATAGTTATGGAGTTATAAAAGGTAGAGGGCCCAATTCTGACTGTAAATTCTTTGAGGCAGACATTGTACTTTATTTACACTGTACAACTAGTACCCAGTACAGTGCCTCACACATATTAAGTACGAAATGTATGTTGACTGAATTACGATTTTATACATCCGGCATTAGTTTGGGGTTGCCTGGAGTGCTTCAATTAAAAAACAAAAAAAAAGTATTTTGCCCAGCCGGTGTGGCTCCATGGTTGAGCATTGACCCATGAATCAGGAGGTCATGACTGGATTCCTGGTCAGGGTACACGCCCGGATTGCGGGCTCCATCCCCAGTAGGGGGCATGCAGGAGGCATAGATCGATGATTCTCTCATCATTGATGTTTCTATCTCTCCCTCTCTCTTCCTCTCTCTGAAATCAATAAAAACATTTAAAAAGTAAAGTAAAATAAAATAAAAACTTTTAAAAAAAGTATTTAACAGTATAGGAGAGAAAAGCTCCAAAGCTTCAACTATAAAAAAAGGTTGCGTGTTGCAGATTAGTTTGTCAGGTAATAATTTGTAAAAGAGAAGACTAAACTGACTTTCAGAGCAACCCAATAGTTGGTGAGAAAAAGTACTTGTTTTATAAAAGAAAAGCAAGGGGAAAAAGAGAATTAGGACATCATCATTTTGCAAGCTCTAATATAAAAATAGATTAGGCCATGATCAGTAATGGCTGCCAAAGTTTTTACTTGACTCATTGGTCAATCTTAAGATCAGTAAGAGGAGAACAACTGATTATCATGTGTCTCCTGATGAGATGTCATAGGAAGCAAGAGTACCACCTATGAAATATTCTTGTGGGGTTTAGGGAGGAGCATGAATCTAATCAAGCCTCTAAATGTAATTACCAGCTTTTAGAAAATCTGTGAATAGAAAAACATATTAAATAACAAAAGGAGTCAATCAGTCAAAATCAGAATATCAGAAATTCTATAGGCAGAGTAACCCAATTCCTTAAATAGATAACCATACTGGAAAAGAAAAAAAAAAGTGTGGTGGGTGGCAGGAACTATTTTAAAGAGAATTAAGAATTATTAAGAACTGCAATGTATGGGCCTTGTTTGAATCCTAATTCAAACCAACCAACTATAAAAGATATACTATTCTCTCTATACTCTTTGAACACTTCCATAATAAAGATTTTAAAATAAACAAGGATAAAATAGATAAAGGAAGGCTATATAGGTGAGCCGTGTTCCAAGGCAATAACCAGGAGAAGGTAACTTAGGAAAGAACCAGTGGACATGTGTGTTATGTGCCACTGAATTAGCTCCAACTCCTAGTGAACATCGTGATGTTCAACAGCCCTGCTCAGCTCCTGTAGACTCATGTCCACGGCTTCTTTGATGGAGCCTGTCCAGCTCATGTTTGGTCTTCCTCTTATCCTGCTGCCTTTTATTTTCCCAGCATTACTGTCTTTTCCAAAGAACCCTGCCTGCTCAAGATGTGCCCTAAGTAGGACAACTTCAGTTTTTTGTTTTGTTTTTTTAATATATATTTTATTGATTTTTCACAGAGAGGAAGGGAGAGGGATAGAGAGTTGGGAACATCGATGAGAGAGAAACATCGATCAGCTGCCTCCTGCACACCCCCTACTGGGGATGTGCCCACAACCAAGGTACATGCCCTTAGCTGGAATCAAACCTGGGACCTTTCAATCCGCAGGCCGACGCTCCATCCACTGAGCCAAACCGGTTAGGGCACAACTTCAGTTTTGTCATTTTTGCCTCCAGCAATATTTCAGGCTTAATTTTCTCTAGGACCCACTTGTTCATCTTTCTGGGGGTCCAGGGTGTTCATAAGAGCTCTCCATCACCACATTTCAAATGAATCCATTTTTTTCCTATCAGCCTTCTTCACTATCAAAGTTTTGCATCTGTACATAGTAATTGGGAATATAAGCGTGTGAGCAATCTTAGCCTTGGTCTCTAATGACACATCTTTGCTCTTAATGATCTTAAAACTCTTTAATTTAGATGATGGTTCTCATTCAATAAGCCAGTGAACACATTTCTATATGACCAGTTAGTTCAGCTTGGTATCTCCTATCAAAATGAACAATAATTTTAAAAAATTATTTGTCAGTACTTTTTTTTGCTTAAGTACCACTTTGTCCAAGGATGTTATTTTCTTTGTAAAAAGCAAACTCATCTCATAGTGAGGCAGAAAACAGAAGGAGCAGATATTCATTAAGGCATGTGAATACAGAAATTTAAAACTCAGAATCTCACCTGTAATTGACCAAGTTCTCAATTCAGGAAACCCTACCACTCAGGCTCCTTTCTGAGCTTAAAGGAAGATATTCTATTCAAAGCTTCTGGGAAGTTGAAATTGGAGAATTTTTCAAATCCTCTGAACTAGATTCCCAATCACTCTCTACCCCAGTGGTTCTCAATCTTCTGGCCCTTTAAATACAGTTCCTCATGTTGTGACCCAATCATAAAATTATTTTTGTTGCTACTTCATAACTGTAATGTTGCTACTGTTATGAATTGTAATGTAAATATCTGATATGCAGGATGGTCTTAGGCAACCCCTGTGAAAGGGTCGTTCGACCGCCAAAGCGGTCACGACCCACAGGTTGAGAACCGCTGTTCTCTACATTAGTTTCCACGGGAACAAAACAAGGGCAAGAAACCATTTTACCTCCTGTGGATTTACGGCAGTTAAGACAGAAACCTCATATGACTGCCTCCCTGACTGCATGGTCACCAAGTGATGTGTCACATCAGGCACTGAAGACAGGGTACGTGGGGATCCTTCAGCAAGCACCTCTGTGAAACAGCAGAAAAAAATGTTTCAACAAAAAGTGAATCCACAGATACCTACCTACTTTATCAAGCCTCTTATTAAGAATTTTAAAACTGTCCCCTGAAACACTGAATCCCATGTTCCTGTATTTCTTCCAAATTAACTCTTATCTAATAATCATTATCAGTGAATCTGGAAAGTACCGTATTACAAAAGGGGAATGGGAAGAAAAGGGAAAAAATCTTGATGTAGGAGCTGACCAGTTTTTAATATGCCGATTTAGAATAATATGGCTTTATTACTGCTAACTGGGTTAACACTGTTAACTGGATTAACACTGTGTAGGAAACGGGACAAAAGCTGCCTAGGCAGGCAAATCAGGAAACCAGAGGTGACCCTTAAAGCAGTCACCAATGATACAAAGAGCACAATGTGTGCAGGTCAAGAACTTAAACCTAGCTTCACTTCAAAGTTCCTACTCTGTGTCCCTTCCTCCCTTACGACGTTCTTCCTTCAGGTTGGCAAAGTACCTCCATGCGATGTCTGTGCCTCCTGCTTCAGTTAGCCACTCGTATCATTCATGAAACAGGAGGGGTAAGTGGTAGAGCACTCGAAGGCCTTGTCGGCTCCATGGAGAAGTCACACAGATATGGTCGCTTATGCCCGAATTGACTGAGTACGATATGAATAACTAAAACACGGGTCTCAGACTTACTAAATGTTCATTAGTGATATCACCATGAAGACCTTTTGGAAATAGTTTATGCATAAACCACTTAGGCTTCAAATTTCAGTTTATTTTAGTGGCTTTTTTAAACTTATACTGCTCTTCCTAACTATACCATGTAATTTAACATTTGCTTATTACTATCTTCTGTTTCCCATGTGTAAGTTTTGACTTCTCAACTAGATTTTAAGGTTCCTGTCTTCTACTTTTTAATCTTTCCCATGGTGCCAGGCATAGAATAGGCACTGAATAAATGCATGCTGACCTCACCTGTTACGTTTTTCAGAGAAGAGGGCCTGGCCTGTGTAACTTGGGTGAAATTTCTACACCAGAGAGAAGCAACTGTTTCCTAGAGAGCCCTTTCTTTTCTCCTGAAGATATGGCTTTTGATGGTATGGAGAAATTGCTTTATATCTCCTCTGTAAAACCTGGTTATGTTCTGTTTAAATGTTTTAAAAGTTAAGTTCTTCCATAACTGCAATAGGAAAAATAGAAATAGTTGGGCTAGGATGCTAGGATTATGGATAATCTTCTTAAAATTTTTTTCTCTTTATTCTATTGTTACATCTTTTCAATGAAATTTTTTTTTTTTACAAGTTCACTTATCCACCCCAGAGACAAAGAACACAAATGTTACTCAATCATACCACAGCTACTCACAAGAAACGAAATTAAAACCTCCATTTTGGAGACAACCCCATTCCTTAGTCTCTAGTGCAGCCCACTTTCCCCAAACAAAGGAGAGTTGAAATTCTTACCATCATCAACTCCTAGGATAGAATTGGTACTTGGTAGGTTCAAGGACTCTCCACCAAGGCTGGGCTGGGGATTCACAGACACCAGGTTTTTACTGGGTACTGACGCCTCTTCAAGCAAACCACTGCCCATTAGTGGCTCAGCTGCACAGAGAACAGGATGTGAGAGATACAGCAGTCAAGGCTGCACCTGGTCCCCACTCTTGCACAGGAAGCTTGCCTTTTCTTTCAGAACTAAAAATTAACCTGCATCTTGGATACCACCTCCTATTTCACCTACTTTTGAAAGCAAGAATAAGCCTACAAGGAAAGGGTTCAGCCTTATGAATAAACACCCTTGCTTGTGAGCTGGATAATTAGCTTATAAAATAGGATGAATGCCCGTAAAGGGGCGTTTGGAGTGAAAGAACTGGTTAAGGAAAGACATGGAAAAGGAATAATAACAAAAAGTATCAAATTTACGGTAAAAAGGGAGTCATGACTGATAAGTAAAATATGCTTAAACTCCTGTCATACAGAAATCTTTATCACAGTGATACTCAAATGCTGGTTCATGGATCAGCACTAGTTACCATCCAACTCACTCAGGAAACTTTTAAAACTACAAGATTCTGGGATTTTACTTCCAAATAATCTCACCATCAGGTTGTTTTGTTTAGGGGGAGGAGTAGACAATATGAATATACTGTATATATTTTAGAAGCTTGTGGCTCAGTGGTTGACTGTCAACCTATGAACCAGAAGGTTGCCAATTCGATTCCCAGTCAGGACACATACCTGGGTTGCAGGATTGATCCCAGTAGGGGGCATGCAGGAGGCAGCCAATCAATTATTCTCTCTCATCATTGATGTTTCTCTCTCTCTCTCTCTCTCTCTCTCTCTCTCTCTCTCTCTCTCTCTCTCTCCACCTCTCCCTCCTCTCTGAAATCAATAAAAATATATGTATTTTTTAAAAAGCTTGCAAAGGGTTTTACTGTATAGCTACATTTAGAAACCACTAGCCCATCAAATGAGACCAGGTCTCTTCCCAAAACAGAATCAGAAAATTTCCAGATAACCAGGCATGCCAGTTATTTGGCCAGAAGAAACAGCACTCCATGAAACCCTCTCTGCTCACCAGTTTGCTCCTGCTCTTGACTCCCAGCTGTTCCCATCTGCAAGTGATGCTTTCTCATGTGCACATTCCTGCTCCCACTTTGAGAGAAGGTCTTCCCACAGACTTGACACTGATGAGGCTTCTCTCCTGAAACAGGGACCAGGTTAAGACAAGGGAGCCAAAACGACAAGGTACATTCCTGACAACCAGAAAATGGACTCAAGGCCTCGATGGAGAAGCCCAGAGAATGTTAAATCACGTTAGAGGCTGCTCCTTCTCCCACTTCCCACCTTCCCCAGCCTCTCAGGCTTCAGTAAGAAGGCAGGAAAAGTACCCCAGGAAGACTTAGCATGCTCACTGTTCCCAGGCCCCAGTCCTTTCCAGACCCATTGTTGCCTTCATAAAACATCTTTGCTATAAGGTCACGGCAGCCACACAGAGTATTTACTTCCCTTTTCAGATACAGGCCTCCACAGACCTCTAGGATATGTACCATCCTCAAGGACTCCAACCCTGGGTTCACAATATCACCTTATCCGATTCCCTGCCACACTCTCCTCGTCTTCAACATTCACCCTGGGGGTTCTGAACAATGATCGGAGTACCTGAGTGAACCACCAAATGTTTTCGGAGGCTAGAATACTCAGCAAAGGAACGGCCACATCCTTGGGCTTCACAAAGGAAAGGCTTCTCTCCTAGAAACAGAAAATGAGATAAAGACTCAGTCTTCTGGTGAACTCTCTCTCTTTTCCCACCAACCGTTTTCTGTTTCTGATTTCTTTAATTCAGGCTATATAATTTCAGCTGGGCTATCTAGCAAATGTCACCTCTCAATGTTCTGCTAGGATACAGCCCACCAGACTGCCCTGCCCTTTTCTCCCTCCTGGCTCAAGAGCTGACCCTCAACTGCACTGACCTACCTTCTTTAGTGACCACATCCCCCCTGAGGACATCGAGATTACAGTATGTAATATGTGCCGCTAGGATTTTAAACTTATGTACCAATTCTCTTTAAGAATCAGTTTCTAGATCCATTAAAAAGTATAGATTTTTTAAAGTTATAAAGTAGATATTATATTTTCTCATTTTATAAAGAAAACAAATAGCCCTACCCAGTTTGGCTCAATGAATAGAGCATCGGCCTGCGGACTCAAGGGTCCCCGGTTCAATTCCGGTCAAGGGCATGTACCTTGGTTGCGGGCATATCCCCAGTGGGGAGTGTGCAGGAGGCAGCTGATCAATGTTTCTCTCTCATCGATGTTTCTAACTCTCTATCCCTCTCCCTTCCTCTGTAAAAAATCAATAAAATATATTTAAAAAGAAAACAAATAAAAAACATGTTTAGTCAAGGATACACAAAAAAATCTATAAATTATGTTAAAAGCAGATATCTTCATAGTGGTATTATAGATGATTTATTTTCTTTCTGCTTTTCTATAATTTTTTTCTACAATCTTATTTAAAAATCAAACATGCATGGTAAAAACTGAGTAAGGCCTGTGTGTGGACTGACAGTACTGTTAACATCCTGGTTTTGATATTGTACTATGACTGTATAAATGTCACTTTCTGGGGAAGTGGGGGAAGCACACACAGAACTCCTTGTACTATTTTTGCAATTTCCTGTCAGTCTATAATTATTTCAAAATAGAAAGTGAAAAAAATCAGATGTAGTCTCTATCCTCTAAAGGTCACAGACTAGTGTGAGAGAGATAAATGTATTTATAAATAACTTCAATGTAAATTCTTGTACAAAAAAAAGGCCATAAGCATTTGGAAAGGGAAGAAACACTGATTGTGATAATTTTTTTAAAGAAGCTGAATTTAAGCTGGTCTTAAAAGATGACAAGGATGGAAGGAAATTCCAGGCACAAGGAATAGCATAAGCAGAGCCTTGAAACTGAGAGTGCCCAGGGCAAGTTCAGAAAACGGCAAGTGAGAAATAATAAGAAATATATACATTGGTCTCTGGCCCTGGTTCTTCACACAGAGCTCCTACAATTCTTATGGATAAGGGTACTAGGAGACTCTTTTGTTCTAACATTGAGTCTTTAATCTAGCGGTTCTCAACCTGTGGGTCGCGACCCCTTTGGGAGTCGAATGACCCTTTCACAGGAGTCGCCTAAGACCATCGGAAAACACATATATAATTACATATTGTTTTTGTGATTAATCACTATGCTTTAATTATGTTCAATTTGTAACAATGAAAATACATCCTGCATATCAAATATTTACATTACAATTCATAACAGTAGCAAAATTACAGTTATGAAGGAGCAACAAAAATAATTTTATGGTTGGGGGTCACCACAACATGAGGAACTGTATTAAAGGGTCACAGCATTAGGAAGGTTGAGAACCACTGCTTTAATCCCAGTTGCTGATGCAGGGTTCCTAACATCTTGTTGCAGAGAATGGCTTGGTGTGCGGGAAAACCCACACATTTGGTGTCAGAGTGCTGTGAGTGTGGTTGTGTGAGAATAAAGGAGAAACATAAGAGTGAGTTTCTCCTACTCAGCAAGTAAGGCTGGCATGGTGATAACACAGGAGCTGGCCTTGAAGGAGGAAGGGCTACTGCTCTAGATTATCCTGTTCTTTCAGACTGCACCACACAGCTTTATGTGTTTTTCTTTGTTTGTTTGTTTGTTTTTGTTAATCATCACATGAGGATATTTTCCATCAAGTTTTAGGGAGAGTGGAAGAGAGAGGGAAAGACAGAGAAAAACATCGATTGGTTGCCTCCTGCACAAGCCCCTATCAGGAGCCAGCAAGTAAGATATGTGCTCTTAATCAGAATTGAACCTGGGACCTTCTGGGTGGACGCTCTATCCACTGAGCCAAACCGGCTAGGGCCACACAGCTTTATGTTTATAACATTCCTGTGGACTGCAACTTTTTTGAAAGCATATTTGTGTACTTACATCTACCCCAGAATGCTAGGTACTCAAAAAGTTGCTGACTGAACAATATCACATATATAATATAATAATATGAATAAATGTCAGAAAATTGAAAATTCTAGTAATAAATAAGATTAAATGTTTAATGAGATGAACTAATATAACCTTAAAGTAGAGGATTTAGAAAACAGAATCGAGTAGTATGAATCTCTGCATCAAGCTGCCTAGGATATAGACACAGCCTCCCTATTTGGATACTGAGAGGGTGGTGATTTTGCGGAGATAAAGTACAAAGGAGAAGAAGAGGCTTAAAAGGTAATGTTGCATTATGGTTAAAGCATGAGTTACTTAACTCTGAGTTCAAATCCTGGCACTACCACTTACTAGTATGGGGAAGATATTTAACCTCTCTAAGAATTAATATTGTTTGTTTGTTTTTAATCAACAGAGGATATGTTTATTGATTTGAAAGGGAGAAATTGGTTGCCTACTCTAAGTGCCCCAACCATAGATCAAACCCGCAACCTGGGTATGTGCCCTGACCAGAAATCAAATCAAATCAGCAACCTTTTGGTTGGGTGGCTCCAAGAATCAGTTTTTTATCTATAAAATGAACATAATACAATCTCAAAATATTATTTTGAGGATTAAATGAGATAACACAAGTATTCAGTATAGTGCCTGGCATAGTAAGTTCTCCTAGTAAGCCACTAAAACTAGCAGCTCTGCCATTTCCTAGTTGCGTAATGTTAGGCAAGTTACATAACTCTCTAATCTTCTGTTTCTTCATCAATAAATACAGTATGTACTGAATAAAGTTACCTTGAAAATTAAATAAGATACACACACACACACACACACACACACACGTGCTCGGCACATATTAAATTCCTCAATAAATACTAACTTTTATTATTATATTAATTTTTAAAAGATTTTTTTTATTGATTTTGAGAAAAAGAGAGGAAGAAAGAGAGAGAAACAACAATATGAGAGCGAAACATAGATTGGCTGCCTCCTGCATGCCCCCTACTGGGGATCGAGCCCAGAACCCAGGCATGTGCCCTGACCAGGAATCAACCAGGAAACTTTCAGTGCACGGGGATGACGTTCAACCAACTGAGCCACACCAGCCAGGACTATTATATTAATTATTAAGACCCGGATCTGTGAGTCATCCTGGGAGAAGTGATTGAATTAAGGCCTGGGAATTCGATGAGAGAGCACACCGAGTGAAAATGAAAGAAGCTGGAAATTCTGATACTGGTGAACAATTGGAAGATTAACAAGGGAGAGCTAGTAAAAGTTAGAATAAAGAGAGAAAATCAGGTCATTCTCTGAAGTCAAAGAAAGCATTTTAAGATGTTCAGTTTTACGAAAAGCTACAAAGAAGGTGAGCAGCACAAGGTTGGTCACTGTACTTAACAATAAGGCATGGTGAACTCTACTTCTTTCCTAATCTGTTCAGCTACATGTTTTTCTTAGTGTTGTTGGTTGTTTTTTTAATTCAAACTGCTTTCTTGGAGCAAGTATAGTTTCCTCTTTCAAAGAGGACGAGCTGAGAACAGAGCTATTCTGCCCTGAAACACAGCCAATGGTAATGTCAATCTAGAGGGGATCACGCCTGGAACAAATGTGACTTCGGCTTGGACTTTTAAAATGCCCTTTAATCATACCTGCTGCCATGTTAGTAATGCAAGAATGAACAAGGAAGAGACAAAGGAAGTGGCGAGAAAGTAGAGAAGAGTTACACATCCCGAGGCAGTGACCTGAGTTCAGTGAGTAAGCTCTGGCAAGAGACTCAGCACATGCTGGGCAATGGCTTGGCAAGTCACCCTATCCTTCAGCTATCCCCTCATGTCTCCTTCTCAGACTGAGAGTCAGGGTATCTTTATTTTGCCACTTTGCTATGAACATGTTGTTTGACACAGACAAGTTAATTCTCTATTCTGTTTCTCATGCTGTGAGGCCCTAACAAGCAAGCAAGCTCCTCAAAGTCAGGGATTATATCTTCACCTTTGTATTTCCCCCATCTTACCCCATTCAGTGCCTAGAAAAGGCTCTGTAAGGTTTCTGTGACTCAATATTCATGCCCAAATTACAGTTGTATAATGTTCAAAGATATCTGGAAAGACTTATTTTGTCCATTTCTCATCATATCATTGCTGTCAGAGGTTTTATATTCCTTTCTACACTTTAGGCTCCTAGAGGCAGAAATTAACACTGTCTGTTCCTCACACACAGGTGAAAGCTCAAGAAACGTTACTGAATGAATTGACGTACCATGAGGAATCTGAAATAAAGAAATTCCATCTTCATAGTTCTAGCAACAACCTTCGCCTCTATTTCTACCTCAGAGCCTTTCCTAAGTATATGTAAGCCAGCACTAAGCCAAACAGTTTGTCCATGGGAAGGGGAGGGTTGCACACACCTGTGTGGATCCTCAGGTGGTTCTTCAGGTTCCCGGCTGTAGTGAACTGCTTACCACAGCTAGACTCAGGGCACATAAAGGGCTTCTCTCCATTGTGGGTCCTCATGTGCACCTTCAGCCTCTGCAGCACATAGAAACTTTTCCCACAGCCTTCTGCAGGGCAGATGAAGGAGCGGTCATTTCTGAAAAACAAACAAACAAACACGCATGAGCAACCATACTTAAAAATGCTTATTGTTGCCCTGGCCGGTTTGGCTCAGTGGACAGAACATCGGCCTGCAGACTGAAAGGTCCCAGGTTCGATTCCGGTCAAGGGCATGTACCTTGGTTGCGGGCACATCCCCAGTGGGAGGTGTGTAGGAGGCAGCTGATCAATGTTTCTCTCTCATCGATGTTTCTAACTCTCTATCCCTCTCCCTTCCTCTCTGTAAAAAATCAATGAAATATATTTTTTTAAAAAAATGCTTATTGTTAGAGAGGACGAGTCAAAGCTCCTATTGACTCTGAAGGCAGACAGTAAATCCCAAACCTGGATATACTGAAATTACCTGAAGTTTGTTAAAACTACAGACGCCCAGGCCCTTCTTCTCAAAATATGGATTTCATAGGTTTAGAGTGGGGCCCAAGCTTATGCATTATTCTTTTTAAGTTCTCCAAGAAGTTATATTTATAATGAGATTTGAGAACGCTTGCTGCAGCTCATTTAGATGCCAAATGTCTTATTAAATATTTGCCAAGAATGAGATAAATGAGACAATGATGATCTTTCTACTAGAGAACAAAAGATATCTTAACCACAAATAGTGGCAGCCCTTGCTTTCCATTCATTTATCAATTGGGGGTACAAGTTCCTCTGAAAACATCAATGTCTTTGGCTCCAAGTGTGGAGGCTCAGCTTTGCTCACCGATGAGTTTTGAGGTGGTACTTAAAGTGAGCTGGCCACACAAATGTCCGGTCACAGCCTTCAACTGTACACTTGAGCTTCTTTTCCGCTTGAGGAAGGGGCCCCGATTCTTTGGGTTGCCCATCACCAGAACCAAGGTGGACGTTTTCTCCTATAAGAGAGTCACATATTTGTAATCCAGGAAAGAACCCTGCTCAGCTACTTTGGTTCAAACAAGAAAACTCCTATATTTTATTCCTAGTGATCAATTATCAAATACCTATCTTCCTCTTCCCCAACTCTTCATATCCATTTAACAAAAGAAGTGAGAGTGTTCCACATGCCCATCCCCTTACGCTAAAAACTGCCAAAGCCATCATGCTTTGTTGCATAGACTAGGCCTCTTGGCAAATGTTAAGAAATGTCAAAAATGGTTTTGTATCAAAAAGCAGAGTTAAACCTATTTTGTATTACACAGATTGGTGGGAAACAGGTATATCAACACCCAGAGTGGGGTGCTACAGAAGATGACTTAAAGTCATAGGTAACAAAAACTTGTATTTTAAGGAGGAACAGCCATTCTGGCATAGTTCTGGGCTTACAGTAGTTAATTTCTTTTGTAGATGGCCATTCTTACATTTCAATCTTCTGAAGTCAATTTGGCTATTCCTATCATTCTACAGAGTAAGAGCCACCTTCTAATTTTCTGTACCATCCCTCTTCAGTTATAAAATATTAACCAGTTAACTGCCACGCGTCCAAAAGGAAAACCATCTCCACACGCCACAATATTTTGAATTTAATTTAAAAAATCAATTTGCAATGAATATTATAAAAATAAATATATTACTCATAATTCGGGTGTTCTTGAATATTTCCAGCTGAAAATTCTTATGAAAAATGACTTTAAAGTTGGTCAGGGCTGCCAATTAGGGAAAATATATTTTTTTTTAATAGACTTACATGGCGTGTGGGAAAGGTCTGCCGCTTGTGTCTACAGACGCTTATGGCGTACAATGGGTTAAGAATGCAAAAACTCAGCAGATTTTAAAATTTCTAACCACACTGTACAAGAGAGAGATAATATCTACTGAAGTTTTTTGTTCAACAGAATAAAAGGAGAGAAGCACACATTGCAGTACCTCCTTAAATTTAAATAAATCAGTTAATTAAAAATTATTTATATTCCAAAGTAGCAGGTGGTGCTCCTATCCTTTTAGACATAGTTGGACATCAGTTGAGAAAAACATTCATTTAATTCTGCTATAGACATAAAGACTTTATCTTTCCACTCACACATACCTTAGAAAGACAAGAGTTAGGTACATATGTTGTTCCTATCACACTCCTTGGAACTTGACAGTTGATCAAAGGTAGTGTTTGTCCCATCTATTAATCTTATTATCTTCCTGCCCTACATTCACTTTCCTGTACTCCATCAATGCTAGTCATAAAACTAATTGCTCCAAGGTCAAAGTAAAAGCTAAGATGCCTTCTGCTAGTTAATATTAACTTTCTCTTTTAAAATACTGTCTCAGTTCTTTTTATTTGTTTAATTGAAAAAGCAACACCTGTACATGGGTACAATTTAAACAGCACACACCACAAAGGAAATTTCCCAACTCCAAAGCTCCACTAATTAATTTCTAATGAAAGGTCTGTAGAAACCTCTGGCTAATCCAGAGATTTAAGCCTGTGACAGTTGGGGCTCTGTGCATTCAATTTTGTAGACACAATGATATAATTATAAAGCAGAAGAAAATCCCTCAGCAAAGAGTGAGTTGCCTTGTATTTTGAGTCCTTATAAAATTACTCCCTTAGAGAAGTGCTTGCTCCCTCAATTACTGTGTTTTGGCGGGGAGGGGGGAGTACTGTTTGCAGAAGACAGATTAGCTTAAAATGACTTCAACAATGATAGTTTTGAATATTTAGAGGTCACCTGATGAACTGGTTCAAACAAAAAGAAAGACAAAGAAATTCAACACCTCATATTGCAGAAGCTGGATAACAACTGTAAACACTTTAAATCTCCTACGGTTATGCCAGCAGGTCTTTGCATTTGGGATGCAATTTCCAGTGAGGTTATCATACATAGCAAGGATCAGTCAACTTTTTCTGTAAAGAGCTAGATAGTAAATATTTTTTACTATGAGGGCTATATGATCTCTGTTGTAAGTACTAAACTTTGTCATGGTAGTTGCCATAGACGATTTGTAGAACTAATTGGCATGCTAGTGTTCCAGTAAAACTTTATTTACAAAAACAGGTGGGTATTTGGCCCATGGACCTTTGCCTACCCTGATATAAGTATCAAATGCAAAATTAAATTTTGTTGTTGTTAATCTTCACCAAAGGATATTTTTTCCATTGATTTTTTTTTAGAGAAAGGAAGGGAATGAGGGAGGGGGAGAGAGGGAGAGACATCGATGTGAGAGAGCCTCATCAATTGGTTGCTTCCCACCCATGCCCCGACTGGGGCTGGGGATCAATTCTGCAACCCAGGTGTGCCCATGACCAGGAATCTAACCTGCAACCCTTTGCTATGCTGGTCGACTCTCTAACCACTGAGAAACACCAGCCAATGCAAAATTAAAATATTTTAATGTCTTCATCAACTTAGATGAGTGTGAAGATGATGTGCTTTGATAAACTGTGCTACAGGACTCACAACGTGGCTTCAGTAATGACAAAGGTTTTTGTTTAAATGTATTAAAATATTGAATGAAATTTCATTACGTTATTGGGTAAAAAGCAACATTAAATTAATATGTTTCATATAATCTAAAATGTGTGTGTAACCACATTTAGCAAATAGCAATTTACAATGTTTAATTTTATCTACATGCCTAAAATACATAATAGCCCCCAAAAAAGGCTTTTAGGCAACCATTTTATTGAGAAAATGGAAGATTATCATATACTAGAGGCCTGGTGCACAAAAATTCATGCACTCGGGGGGAGGGGGTTCCCTCAGCCTGGCGTGTACCATCTCACAGTCTGGGACCCCTCAGGGGATGTCCACCTGCTGGCTTAGGCCCGCTCCCCAGGGGATCGGGCCTAAGCTGGCAGTCAGACATCCCTCTGGCAGACCAGGAGCCCTCGGGGGATGTCCACTTGTCAGCGGGGAGCAGGCCTAAGCTGCAGTTGGACATCCTTAGCATTGCTGAGGAGGCGGGAGAGGCTCCCGCCACCACTGCTGTGCTGGCAGCCGTCAGCCTGGCTTGTGGCTGAGCACAACTCCCGCTGGGGGAGCGCACTGACCACAAGGGGGCAGCTCCGGCATTGAGCGTCTGCCCCCTGGTGGTCAGTGTGTGTCATAGTGACCAGTCATTCCCAGTCGTTCTGCTGTTAGGGTCAATTTGCATATTACCCTTTTATTATATAGGATAAAGGCCTGGTGCATGGGTGGGGGCTGGCTGGTTTGCCCTGAAGGGTGCCTCAGATCAGGATGGGGGTCCCGCTGGGGTGCCTGGCCAGCCTGGGTGAGGGGCTGAGGGCCATTTTCAGGCTGACCAACCCCCCAGTGGGGACCCTCAACCCATGGGGGTGTGGCCAGCCTGGGTGAGGGGCTGAGGGCTGTTTTCAGGCTGCCCACAGCCCCTTCAGGGTGGGGGAGTCCCGCTGGGGTGCCTGGCCAGCCTGGGTGAAGGGCTGATGGCCGTTTTCAGGCTGGCCATGCCCCCCGGCAACCCAAGCTCCCAGCCTCTCCTTTTTTTCTAGATTTATTTATCTTCTATAATTGAAACTTTGTAGCCTTGAGTGGAGCCCAGGGCCGGCCAGGTCAGGCGGGAAGCTTGGCTTCCTCCATCGCTGGGGGCAACCCAAGCCTCCTGCTCACTCCAGCTCTGTGGCCACCTCCATCTTAGTTGGGTTAATTTGCATACTCACTCCTGATTGGCTGGTGGGCATGGCTTGTGGGTGTGGCAGAGTGATGTTTAATTTGCATGTTTCTCTTTTATTAGTGTAGATTTGGACTCACCTTATACTCAAGCATATAAGATAGTTGTTATGCTATCTCAAAGTAACATATTTTGAGAGTAATAAAAACATCCACACAATGCTTTGCTGATTATAAAGCATTTCCCAGATAGAATCTTATTTAATCTCTATAACAACCTAATCAGATATGCTACCTGACCTCTATGTTCTGAACAGCAGAAAATTGAAGCTAAGGAAGATTATATTCCCCAGGCAGGGAACTAGTAAACAATGGCACCAGGTATGGATCTCAGGCTCCCAGAGTCCAAATCACAAGGTCCCTCCCTATACTGCTTCTCATTGGCAAATATAGCACTATTCCCTCAATGTAATATGGGGACGCTGAAGATTTCAGGATCCAGAAATCAGCAAAAGCATCACAGGAAGAATTTGATCTTCATTAGGATAGGGCCTAAGCACCTGCATTTCTAAGTTCTTAAGTGATACCGATGATCCAAGGACCACATTTTGAAAATTACTGAGTAGAGAAAAGTGGCAGAGGAAATAGTACAGACATGCTAAACTCAAAAGAAACAATACAGGGGGAGGGGGCAGACTAGAAAGGGTCAATGGGGGTGCGAGGGGGGAGAATGTACATCTATATTATTTTCAACAATAAAGATAAATCTAAAAAAAATAAAGTTTAACATTAAAAAAAGAAATGAAACAGTACTACAGCCCGCATAACTAGTTGCTAACTTGTCATGAGCAACAATTTCGTTTCCTCAAAATATAACCATCGCATTACCAAAATCTCTGCATAGAATACTGGAAAACACCACAGGGGTCTCACCATTGCTGCTGGTTTTTGCATTCTTTGCCAGCTGTGCACGAGTAGCAGCGATCAAACTGTCATGGGCCAACTCCTGAACCCGGAGGAACCATGGGATGCTACTGTCCGTGCTCTCACTGGAGAGGAAATCATTTCCTGAATCCTCTGCCTCATCTTGTACAAATACTAAGTGCTCAGCTGAAGAGCTCAGACCTGGTAGAAACAAGAAGACATATGAAAGTTAGCCATCAGGTAATCCTTTTATTGGAACCCTGTGTGTCCTGAATCAGCTGTTCCAGATTTTCACCTCTTACCTCAAGCTTCAATTCTCACACAAGATTAGGTTATCACCTTTCCACTCCCAGCCTGCAGACTTGTCTTCATCTTATCTCCTATTTCAGTGGCAAAGATGTCCTTCCCGGCAACCAGGCTAACCCTTTCCTCTTGTATCCCCATTCTACCCTTCAATTAACCCATGTCTCCTCCAGCTGTCTCTTCTCTACTGGCCAGCCTACAGCCTCCCTTACAGCCTTTAAACCTGTTCAAGTTCAAGTCTCTTCTATCTTTACTTTTTTAAAAAGAACAAAAAGTCCCAAGTACTTCTCTAGCTATCCACCTCCATCTGTTCCTTCAAAGTAAACTTTCTTGAACAAGTATAACTGCTAACTTGCATATTCACTTTCTCACCTGCCACCTACTCCCCACCTTTCTTCTCTCTCTCTCTCTCTCTCTCTCTCTCTCTCTCTCTCTCTCTCTCTCCCTCACTCCCTCCCTCCCTCTCTCTCTCTCTCGTTACCCAAGGATTTTTTTCCCCCCATTGACTTCTAGAGAAAATGGAAGGATGGGAGGAGGAGGGGGCAGAGAGAGAGAAACATCGACTGGTTGTCTCTTGCAGGTACTCCTACTGGGGCTGGGGAACCTGTGACAGAGGTACATGCCCTTGACTGGGAATAGAACCTGCCACCCTTCAGTCCGCAGGCCAGTGGTCTAACCATTGAGCTCCGGCCAGGGGTACTCCCCATCTCTTTAACCTTGACCTCCACTTCTACTACTGCAAAAACAATTGCTCTTGCTAAAGTCACTAGTCCTCATCTCACTAGCCCATTCTGAAGTATTTGGCATGATTTAGTAACTTTTCTTCTTTAAAACATTTTCCTTCCTTGGATTCCCCTTCACCACTCACATTCTATTTCCTTATTAAATTTATTAGGGTGACATTGGTTAATAAAATTATATAGGTTTCAAGTGTATCGTTATATAATACATCATCTGTATATTGCATTGTATGTTCACCAACCAAAGTCAAATCTCCTTCCATCACCATATATTTGATCCCCTTTACCCTTTACTACCTCCTCCCCACCCCCTTTTAGCAATTTCTTCCTATTCTTCTGTTACCCTCTTAAATGTTTGGGTTTTTCCCCATCGTCCCAGATTTGCCTATTTTTCTGTTTATGTTCTAGACTACTCCTGAATCAAAGAATCCTGCTGTTTCATACATTTCCCGAATGCTGATAAGCACCAAAACTACATATTTCATACCAGACCTCTCTGTAGCTCTGGATTTGTTTCTAATGCTAAAGGATTCCTCCTCCTGAATGTCCCTCCCACAGCTCAACATCAACAGGCACAAATGGGAACTAATCATCCTCCCTCCAGCCCTGTTCTTTGTGTTCAATATCTTGGTGACCAGCACCACCTAATTTCCCATACAAGAAACTTTTGATTCACCCTAGAATCTGCCCTCTCTCTATCCACATTTAATTGATCACTAGACTATACCAATTCTCCAAAGTAATAAAATAATAAGGCTTCGTTTCATTTTAAGTATGTCTGAGTTAAATATGGCCCAGCACAATTTTTTTTTTTTTTAAGCATGAGCAGAGTTCAGAAAAGGATAAAAAAATACCTGCTCTTGTTAAGTTAAGAAGAATAAAAGAAGTGCTATCACTTGGCTGTAGATCTTGCAACAGGCTAGGAGACTCTGGAGTGGACAAAAACTCCGGGGACTTCTGTACAGTCTGAGCCCTTGTCTCCTCTCCGTCTGGGCCCACATTCACCTGAAGGCTTCTTAACACAGCTGAAGGAGGGACCTCCTTGGAGGAATTAGTATGATTTGGAGTATCATCTAGTAAAGAAAAAATAGTACAGCTTTATAAAGCACCTATTTCCAAAGAGCTCACCATATTGATACATAGCACCTAATACCCTTGTAACCTCTCTTAGCATCTAACAACACCCTTACAGGAACAGACATTTTCATTTTACAAATACAAAATTTGCCTCAGAAAAGAACAAAGATATGGCTTTAAGTTCTAAAGAAAGTCAGTCAACAAGTGAGGGACATACTCCTCTAACACCTGGCAGTAACTAATAGCCAACCATCTACATTTGGAATTATAGACCTTTGTTCTTTTGAGGCCAGAAATCAGTACTTTCCCCTTTAAAAAAATATGGTTATACAATGAATACTAACCTAAGAATAGGCTCTAAATTTTAAATTATTATTCTTTGGGAGAGATCCCTTCCATGTATGTGACAGTTCTGGTGAATTATTGGGGGATGGGGGGGCATAGCTGGGGAAATAACTGAAATTTTACAGAATCATCAATATGTTTCATTATAGTCTGGGTTTACACTGGATATAAAGAAATAATCAAAATACTTTCTAATTTTATTGTAAGGAGGAGATGAATTTACAAAGGTTTTGGTTGCAATATAATGAGGAACTGAACTACAGTGCTGAAGCATCCAATGTTTTCAGCGGTTTCTTTCATCTTTATCAAAGGCAGATAATATTTTTTCCTATTTTAAGGAAATAATAGACAAAATTATAGGAATAAAAGTGGAAAGCTAGGGGCAGTATTGCCATTTCAGAGCCTAATGAAGTTGCACAACAATATAAATATACTTATTAATGCCACAGAACTGGTTAAATAGTAAGTTTTGTTATGTATATTTTACCACAAACATTTTTTAAAATAAAGCTCATAGACAGTTTGTCATTGAACAATAGAAAATAAGTGAATATTTATCAATAGTGACATGAATATTGTGGTACACTCATATAACAAAATACTCTAGAGCAATGAAACCAAACAAACCATAGCTACACACAAGAATGAATTGGATTAATCTCACAAATACAGAGCACTAGTAAAGGAAGAAAGGTACAACATACTTTCATATAACTCCATTAATTTAAAGTCCAAAAACAGCTAAAATCAAACTGTGTTACTTAGACTTGGGTAGTTACTGGAAACTTGGAAACAAAGAACTGTCTCAAAAGCTAAGGACGGTGGTGACCTATGGAACAATAGAGGTTGTCTTTAACAGAGGGGGCTCCTATGGAGGGCTTAGGAGCTGGCAATGTTCTACTTCTTTATTAAGTGGTTGGTATCTCCTTTATTCAATATGTATATCCATGTGGTTTTATACTTTTCTGAATCTATCATATATCTCAAGTAAAAAGAAAACATGCAGGCCAAACACGTGTGTTTAGAATGATACACACATACTTAAGAGGGAGGGGAATGAGATTAGGGAGGTTTGTGCAGATACATTTGCTATTGTAATATTGTATTTCATTAGCTGACAGGTGCGTAGATGAGTTTTCATTTATTATCTATAATTGGTTCTTGAAAATATTTTAAATTAAAACTAAAAGAAGGTAATGTGCAAAAGAAGACATGCTTTTGTTTCTGTTTTCATTTCCTTTATTATTGTTAATTATTTATTCAATAAGTTAAAATTGGGGGTGAAGGAGACATATGTTAATACTTTAAACCAGGGGTCCTCAAACTATGGCCCGCAGGCCACATGCAAATACAAATATTGTATTTGTTCCTGTTTTGTTTTTTTTACTTCAAAATAAGATATGTGCAGTGTGCATAGGAATTTGTTCATAGTTTTTTTTTAAACTATAGTCCGTCCCTCCAACAGTCTGAGGGACAGTGAACTGGCCCCCTATTTAAAAAGTTTGAGGACCCCTGCTTTAAACAATAAAAAATAAAATAATAAGTTAAAATTGGGAGAGAAAAGTTGGGGGAAAAGCCTAATGAAGATAAAAATTTATTAGCACATGGAAATTTTCACATATTGAAAATCCATAAATATATGGAAAGACTCCCAATATACTAATAGAAAAATGGGAATTGAAAGGTAGGAAATGTGGAAAAATTTGGAGCTAGTTAGGGAAACCTTAAGTCAACATTTGGTTAGTTCATTATATCTGCCCTTCTTGAATCTTTACACATTGAAAAAGATAGAAAGTCACTTGAAAAAAATAAAAGAAAAAGGAACACCACTAGAAGACAGTAACCAGAAGACTATAACAAATAATTTGTTACCAACAAATATTGATCCTCACCTGATTTAACATTAGTATTCCAAATTTTAAAACAAGGACCAGAAAACAAATAATTCATTGCATCTAAAAATAATATTCTCCTTGGTAATAGTCAAGGAGGTTATTAGCTTTGGATCACCCTCTTCTCATCCAAAGCTAATAATCTCACTTCCCTATGCTTAGCATCCACTTCATTCTACTCTCCTGAAGCCTCCTCACCAATTATCCACATTTTCTGTCCACAACGTCTCTAACTGGCTCTTTTCTTTTAGGAAAAAACCACCCTTAAATATTTCAAATCTGAGAAAAGAATTCTTCCATCTATTTTGTTTTTCCTTTGCATAGCAGGAGAGTCTTTACAAAGTATAGATACTTCCTCTATACATATCTTACACAAGTATCGAAATCCTCTGCAGCCTGGCTTTCTACCCCCTTTCCATGGAACTGGTCCTGCTAGGTCAACAATGGCCTTGTTGACCCTATCTCACTGGGCCTCTTAGGAACATCTGACACACTGAGTATTCCCTTGGGTTCCATGCCTGTATTCTATGCTACTCTAGACTTTCCTTCTCCCCTCCACAGGCTCTCCTTAAATAGGATATTCCAAGGCGTTCTACCTTACCCTTCTTTTCTTCTCACTTTCATATTCTATGGGTGATCATATCCATCCCTATGGTGTAAACTATCAATGCACTTATGACTTCCATGGCTCCTTTTCTCCATGATTCCTAATTTTTACAGTTTCCACCAGTCTGTTATAAAATCAGTTAATCCATTCCACCAGTACCATAGAGTAGGCTAAGCTCTTAGGACTCATTTATCTTAACTGTGGTGTTCTTAATTTTTACCTGGTAACATTAGCCGACTGCATTCTGAGGCCTCAGTCACTGGAAGGAGGGACAAGCAAGTAATGTCTTTAGCTTCTGATTCTACTAGCCCCTGTCCCAATGGGATGGATGTATTCTGAACAAACTGTACCAGGAGCTAGGGGATGGGGGAGGGGAAACAACATAAAGATATATAAGTTGTTAGGAATGGATATAAACGTCTGAATTTCCCAAAAGGTGATGATGTAATTAAGTCTTAATTGCTCACTAATCTCAGCCATATTCATTGTAAAACTAAATTAACAACAAATAAAATTTAAAGTTATTTTTATCATGTCATCTGTTCTGGAGAAAGGTTAAATTATGTAATTAATTTAACCTCTGTCATTTTCCACCAAACAAAGAAATGATAAAAATAATTATATTTTTAAATGATGGCTATTAAAAACTCAATCATATTGTATTGATTACATTTTATAAAACACTTTTCTGTGTATTGGCTTCCTTTAAGCCTCACTATAAATCAGTAAGCTTGAACATGTATTTTAAAGATAAGGAATCAAGTTGAAGACACTGAATGACTTTTCTAAGGTCATAAGACTAGTTAGGAGCAGTGTCAGTCTTCAAACTTAAGTAATTTGATTCCAAATTCAGTGACTTTTCATTATGTAACACAGGTACATTTAAATTAAAATGAGAAAAATAAATAAAAATTTAAAATGTTGTCTTGGCCGGTGTAGCTTAGTTGAGGACCATCCCATCCACCGGAAGGCTGCTGATTCAATTCCTGGTCAGGGCACATGCCCAGGCTGCTGGCTTGATCTGCAGTAGGGGGCATGAAGGAGGCAGGTGATCAATGTTTCTCTCTTATCGATGTTTCTCTCTCTCCCTCTCCCTCTAAAATCCATAAAAAGATATTAAAAAAAAAAAAAAATGTTGCCCTGGCCAGTGTGGCTCAGTTGGTTGGAGCACTGTCCCATACACCAAAAGGTAGCAGGTTTGAGTCCTGGTTGGAGCACATACCTAGGTTGCGGATTTGATCCCTGGTCAGACCACATGTGGGAGGCAGCAGATCGATGCTGTGCTCTCACATTAATGTTTCTCTCTCCCTCTCCTTTCCTCTCTCTCTAAAAATCAATAAAAATTATTTTTAAAAAAGTTTAAGTCCTCCAATTACATTTAGAAAGAAAATACTTTCAGATATATATACTTTCTGAAAATACTTTCAGAAAAATTAAAAGAATGGTTTGTGGTAATAAATATTTACAAATGTATACATACATTACACATATATGCCATATATAAAATATAAAATTTTGTCATATAATTATCTAGATGTATAATTTTATACTTATTAAATAACAAATATTAAAAGTCATAAGAGGTAAAAATGGAATTTTTAAATCTTTGAAAAAGTACTTAGTGAGAGGAAAATAATAAACTAGTAGTTACAATCAAAACAATATGGCCCACAAAGACTAACATTTTACTATTTGGCCCTTTACAGAAAAAGTCTGTTGACCCCCAAATTAAATAAGGACAACCTTTGGAATAGAGCCCACCAAAAAGAAAAGAAAAGCTGATTTGGCTCACCTCTGGTTTGGATTCTAACTCATCTGATAACATTGATTCAGCTTCCAAATCCTGTAGCTGTTCAGGCAACAAGTTAAATTTTTAATTCAAAGTCAATGACACCTTCCTGTTTATGCTCATATTCCTCTAGGAAATGCTATGCTTTTCCTGTAAGATGCTGTGCTGGGTAGGTAATCAATTTAGCCTAAAATGAGGGAAAGCGAGAGAGAATATTAAGAGCAGAGGAAAAATGTAGCTAAATAAACAAAGACTTTATCTATTGTAATAATCATAAGTTGCATGTCCTTTTCCACTATTTCCCACCCTGGTATATCCACAGCAAGCAATAAAGAATTTGTCCTAAAACAATTGTTTTAAAATAGAACAAACCCAATAGGTCTCAAAACCCATAAAAAGTTTTACTTTGATGTAGAATTTCTATTTCTACTAATCTATTCTAATAAAAGGTCTTAACCCTTTGAGGTCGTATTAAATTAGGACATGGGTGTCGTACTGGTCGGAATTAATTTCCATTGAAAGAGCAGTGATACATAACATGCAAGATTATGAAGGATAAACAAGATTTATTAATTCTTTTTTGGAACTACGTCACTACTAGTAGAATCACTACAAACGTTATCACTTTCTACGTCAGAGTCAGTATTCAAGGTGCCAAAATAAAACTCTTTTTTTTTTTTAAAATATATTTTATTGAGCTTTTACAGAGAGGAAGGGAGAGAGATAGAGAGTTAGAAACATCGATGAGCTGCCTCTTGCACATCTACTGGGGATGTGCCCGCAACCCAGGTACATGCCCTTGACCGGAATCGAACCCGGAACCCTTCAGTCCGCAGGCCGACGCTCTAGCCACTGAGTCAAACCGGTTTTGGCCAAAATAAAACTCTTCATCGTTACTTTCAGATTCGCAGTACACTTCTTTCGGTAACTTTCTTTTTGCCATTTTGGAGTATTATTTTGAAATATCTTAACAAGCGAGAATGCCTAATTACAGTTAAACATAATTTGTAAAGCTTTATTTGAAATTCTGCAAAGTATCTCCAAAGCTTGTCGATTTCTTCACTCTCAAAAGGCAACTGACTCGCCACAGTGTTTTGCATGGCGAGTGTGGAACGACCGCGTTTGTTTATATTGAGTTTCGATAACTCCGATTTGTCGGGGCAATGTTTTGGGTCGTGACAAGGTCGCTTAGACACGTAAGAGCTTTCAGAGAAATTATGAACTGATGCAGGAATGAATAGAGTTAAGATTCGTACGGTTCCTTGCTGTGGTGGCTGAGAGCAGACATACGACCGGAACGGTAAAAAAGCTTTGGTGGCTGAGAGTAGACAAACGACCGCAAAGGGTTAAATATGAGAAAAGCTATATGTCCAAAGAATTTCATCTTATCATCTGTGATAATAAACAACTTCAAACAACATATAAATACATGCATATACCCAACAATTGGGGAGTGTTGATAAATGTTGGTTAAATTACAAAAACAAAATATGAAATTACAAACTTGCCAATATTAAAACTAGTTAAGATAAGCATAGGAACAAGTGAAAGGAAATTCACACAGCTGTGATAATAGTTTATTGAGTGGTAGGCTGGTGTGACTATTTTCTCGATTTCCCAATTTTTCTAAAAATATTTATACAGTCAGTCAATATTTGAATAATATTTTCCCAAAGTAGTACTCTCAGGACCCTGATGCAGCTGTTTTCTACCCATAATTTAAACTCTTACTTTCTTTTTCTTTTTTTTAATCATATATTGTTCTTTTTTAAAATATATTTTATTAATTTTTCTTTCTTTCTTTCTTTTTTTTTTTTTTAGAGAGAGAGGAAGGGAGAGGGATAGAGAGTTAGAAACATCAATGAGAGAGAAACATCGATCAGCTGCCTCCTACACACCTCCTACTGGGGATGTGCCCAAAATCAAGGTACATGCCCTTGACCGGAATCGAACCTGGGACCTTTTAGTCCGCAGGCCGACGCTCTATCCACTGAGCCAAACCGGTTAGGGCTAAATTCTTACTTTCTTATAGCTTAATTTTTCCCCCCGGGATTTTGGCAAAGTGAGTTCATTTTATTTTGTACAATTATTGTTAAAATTGGGAGCACTACTATATACAAAGTGGTCATACAGTGTAAAATGTACTCAAGATGAGAGTTTTCAATTAATATCAAAGTAAAGTGAAAAGTTAGAAAGATTTACTCTACAAAAAGAGCACTTAAATGTACCTGAATAAGTGTTACTGCCCTGATAGTTCCTTCCTCTCCCTTTTGTTAGCTGCCAGAAATCTGTATTTTTCATCATTAAAAAATTATTTACAAGATGTAAATAAAATGTTAAGTTTCCCACATAAAGTAGCATAAATCTCCAACTTTTCCTTTCACATACATTTTTCTTATTCAAGCACTATAATAGCTCAATGGGGCTTACCCATCCCTCTTTTACATTGAAAGGAACCAAGGCTCAGTAATATCACTTGTCCAAGTTATTAAGCTTCAGAGCCAAACACCTACCCACAGAGGAGGTTGGCATGAATAGTTGGCATAAATAGTGATTATATCTCTCTAAATTTGATCTTGAGTCACCAGGGTGTAAGAATTCCCTTTCCCCAATTCCAGGTCATCTCAAGAAGCCAAGAAATTACCAAATGTTTATTTAAGTTATTCTTTTTTTTTTTTTTTTAAATATATTTTATTGATTTTTTGCAGAGAGGAAGGGAGAGAGACAGAGAGCTAGAAACATTGATGAGAGAGAAACATCAATCAGCCGCCTCCTGCACATCTCCCACTGGGGATTGTGCCTGCAACCCAGGTACACGCCCCTGACCGGAATCGAACCCGGGACCTCTCAGTCCGCAGGCCGACGCTCTATCCACTGAGCCAAACCGGTCTCGGCTATTTAAGTTATTCTTAATGTTCCTCCAATTTTGAGATTCCAGGATTGTAAAATCTCTAAGAAACTAGACAATTATTTACTGTCTTTATATTTGTTCATTTTTATTTTTTTTTAAGAAACTAATGGTGCTGGCTCCAGGGATAGGTTTCTGTTTCCTTACCTAATGAAAAATAAAGGATAAGAATATGTGCCCTTAACAAGGGAAAAATCAGATATAGCAGATCTTAAACACTTTTGCAAAGCTGTAATAACAACTTAGAGAAGGAAGCTGCCACTTCTCTTATAGTTTAAGGACCACCTCTACATCATCATTTCTCAATCCAAAGTTATCTATGACACCCTTTTATTTTAGTGTTTTCATTTCAATGATAATCTTAAAAATTAGCACAATCACTTCCTGGAACAAATGGGTATCTGTATTATAACTGAGAACTGCCATACAATTTTGGTATCCAAATTTGTGGTTTGTATGTGTGCCGTGTAAACAAAAAAGAGAATAGTCGGATGCAGTACAATAGGCAGGATGACCTCAAAAGAATCTGTATTGGAGCACTCAGTACCATACTGTGTACTGTGTGGATCTCATCTTCAGCACAGCACCAGCGAAGTGTGATGGCAAATTCAATTCTATTCCTAATTCCAGTTACCCATGTAACAGATTTCAAAAATTGCAATGCAAATTTTTTTAAATAACAGCTTCACTGAGATATAATTCACATACCATACAATTCACTTACTTAAAGAGGACAAGTACATTGTTTTTAGTATAGTCACAGATGTGCAAACATAACCACAATCAATTTTATAACATTTTTGTCATCCCAGAAAAGAAAGCCTGTACCCATTTTCTCCCAAGCCCTTCACTGAGCAGGCCTAGGCAACTACTAATCTATTTTCTGTCTGTATGGATTTTACCTACTCTAGACATTTTTATAAATGGAATTATATATGTGATCTTTTGTGCCTGGCTGCTTTCACTTAGCATGAAGTTTCCAAGGTTTATCCTATTGTATGTAGCATGTATTGGTACATCATTTCTTTTTGTAGCAAAATACTATTCTACTGTATGGATGTACATTTTATTTATCAAATTATCAATTGATGCACATTTGGATTATTTCCACATTTCAGTTGTTTCCCCAGTTTGGCTATTATGCATAATGTTGCTATGAACATTCATGTACAAGTTTTTGCATGGACATACATCTTTATTCTTTTCTGTACTTTTCTAGGAGTGAAATCGCTAGGTCATTTGGTAACTACGTTTAACCTCGTGAGGAATACCAGGCTGTTTTCCAAAGTGGTTGTGTCACTTTACAATCCCACCAGTAGTATATAAGGGGGATCTAATTTCTCCACACCCTCACCAACTCTTGTTAATTAGTATCTGCCTTTTCTATAATAGCCATCCTAGTGGGTATGATGTAGTAACTCACTGTGGTTTTGAGTTACATTACCTGATGGCTAATGATGCTGAGTATCTTTTCCTGAGCTTATTGGGCATATGTCTATATCTTAGACCTTATCAAATATTGGTTTGCACAACCTTTCTTCCATTCTATGTTATCTTTTCGCTTGTAAAGCAAATCTTTAATTGAATAAGGCAATTCTAACTCTACAAAGTCATCAAATAATACCTCATTAAAACTGGTATTCAAGGACTTCTCAGTCACCTTTGGTTAAATATAAGATCTGATTATCATAAACTGTGTAACAAGGCCTTGACATTACAAATACTACCTTGTATGCTATCTTCTGCGCTAGTATTTTCTAAAGTTGAAATTTAGAAACAAATGAAATATATTACTGCATCCAAGGCTAAATCTTTCCACTGTTAAGCTCAATATTAAATATGTAGTTCATTTTAACAAACAACATCTCTACCACATAATATGAATGTTAATTTGAATTTTCTTGTTGTATGGTATTGCTTACATCTGTATACTTATTCATGAAGATATAAATCCATGGCAACAACTAACATAATCTTGATAATCTAAATTTTATGATGTACATGGTTCCCCATGGCCATCAAAACATATTAGACTGCCTAAAGAAAATAATCTTTGTTTAGCATATATATTTTAGAAATTCACTGATCATGGCACTACTATTATTGATTTGTAAATTTGTTTTGATGTTGCAGTTGATTAAGAGCTATAAAGGCTCAGCATAGGAGGTATAAGAATCACCTAGCTTTATGTTTGAGTATATTTAAAATAAAAATAATTTGCAAGTATTGGAGGTAGGGAGGGTCCCAATGCAATGTTTTTCCTTTAAATGCAACTTATA